CCCCCCCCCCCCCAGTTTGTTGGGCAAACAAAGTCATTCGGGCAATATTCGCTTCACAGTCGGGCAATATTGGCTTATTATAAAAATAAATGGGACAAATTCTGTCAATTTTGTGGGAAATTCTGTCAATTTTGTGGGAAATATGCTATCTAATAGGAATTTTTGTGATCACTCGTTCCCCCCGTCGACAACAAAATCGAAATCGAAAGTCTAAACAAACCAGGGCTAAATTGCAGAATACCCGTCCACAAGTTACATTATATCATGTAGCCACTATTTCACTTGATGCGCAGATGCGCGGTCAGAACTTGTTAATATAATATTTCATTGGATATACACGCGGCCAGAACTTGTTAATATATATTTATTCTAAATAGTTTAATAATAAATGGACTGATAAATCAAATTTTCATGTTACAGGTAGCTATATATGTTTGGATTATGATATTTCGTCAGTTATGATCCTGATTCCCGAAGATCGCTTTACACAAGCTTCACTGATAACTTATATTCGAAAAGACAAATTATTCCAAATCATGATAACGCCAGAAGTCCTGCAAGAGTGGTTCACAGCAATGCAGAAATATTTGTATATGTCCAGAATTGCATGAATGAGCAACGCTGATTACACAGCCAGCTAGAGGGTAAATTTTCCTTATAAATTAAGTTAAATTAAATTTCATTTGAATGAAGCTTCGTTTTCAGTTTAGAGTCTCGACGGCGTTAGAAATTGTACCAATATATATTAAAAACAGTTTAAAAACTGTTTTATGCGGAGTAAGACATATGGAAAATCAAGTTTGGTATCATATACCGGTAGTACACGATAACAGATTATGTAAATCATTCGATAATAAGCGTTATTATTATTGATGCAAGAATGAGGTATTAAAAACTACATTTGGGAAAGGATGGGGCAGTATAAAATGCGGCACATCGTTAAAATTTGAATCATACCTTAACGAATATGAGGTATATAATTACTATCGTGGCTCCTTTCAAAGATCTTGGATTGTTGGCTGATAAACGATTCGGCCATTGCATTTAATATCCACTCCCCCCTTCCCCCCAAGGATGAGGTCAGTAAAATTTTAATTTCTTAGAAAAAGGGGGGAAACACAAAACCACACTCAGAACTTTGTAAATTTTCCCCTTACCTCGTTGAAATATCGCAGAAATCAAAGGATGCCGACAGGCTTATCCCCGCAGAAACGACTTTGAGGTCACCTTTCAGAAAAGCTCGTCCACAGGGGGAGGAGTTGAATATTAATTAGAATGGCCCATTGTAGCATTCAAGTACAGATACCAGCTGAAACAAGGTTTTACAGCGTATATAGTCATGGTATGCTGTTCTTGCATTTTGCTTCTAATATAGTTTACTACCATTATTACTATCATGCAAGTGTCTTTATTACACTGGCCGCAAGTGTGACTTTCCATTGCGGCATCGTGGGCTCAGGATTGCGCAATTTAGCTAAAACATGCTCACGATGATTTAAGGACCAATTCTACACATTGCTATTCAGAACGAATTTCGTATTTAAACTATACTTTACAAATCTTAGACGCTGTAATGGACCAATCCCCAATTGACCAAAATTTTGAACTCAACAAGTCTACACAAAAATTTCATCACAGCTTGAAAGAGCATCACAAAATTAGTAATATTCCAAAGTTTCGTTGCAAAATGTTGTAAAATGCGGATAATATAGCCTTGCGAAGTTTGCAATTTTCAGTCATTTTAGATTACAAACGGGAAATGGTTACCACTTCTGTGCGTAATAGAAAATGACTGAAAATTGCAAACTTCGCAAGGCTATACTATCCGCATTTTACAACATTTTGCAACGAAACTTCGGAATATTACTAATTTTTTGATGCTCTTTCAAGCTGTGATGAAATTTTTGTCTAGACTTGTTGAGTTCAAAATTTTGGTTAATTGGGGATTGGTCCATCACAGCGACTAAGATTTGTAACGTAGTTTGTTTGTCTGTTCAATAACAAACCTTACTAAGGGAGAAACCTCGTAAAATGTTATAGTTTAGCCAATTTATGTAGCGCATTAATTAAACAATGTCGTCCAAGGAACGCCCGGCCAGGCCATATATCAATGGTCCAAGCCAGTCATTGTATGAACTCTGTATAATATTTTCTTTACAACATAATTACGCAATTTTGGTGATTTGAACCTATCAGATGAAAAATATTACATAATAAAGATCCGTTTACACGACATTCATTTTGGACACAGCACGCCTACATTTTGGCACGCGGACTCATTTGTTTGGGCGCGGCACTCCTGATTTTTGTCGTGTAAACGCAAAATTAAAGATCCGCGTACTTCACATTAGAGACCTTACGATTTTAGGACGACAACGCGACGGCAACGGCTACCAATACTATTAAATAGATCATTGAAAAAAATTGAGTAATTGCAATATATGAATAATTTAGACATTGTCCTCGCTCTGTTTACAACGCTAAATCACAGATTTTCACGTCTTGATACAACGGCTGCATTCCAAGCCACAACAAGTGCAACGGCTTCAAACTGTGTTTAGCGGAACTCTTCCCAACCATAAAACCCATGTCTTCAACTGCTAAAACTGTATTAAATTCCTACGATTAATAATATACGACGAACTATCTTTACTACCATTTATTTGAAGGAGTTTGTTTTGGCCGTCGCCGTCCGAAAATCGTAAGGTCTGTATTTAAGTCGTGCTGAGACCTCCTCAAGAGATAGTCTTGGCCCGCCTAAAAATAGGCCCGCGAAGCGAAATTTTGTTACCCATGCGTCTTGTTCTTCACACTTCAAAAACACTGTGCATGTCAGTACAAACAAAATACAGAGAGAGAATGTGGTCAGATGAAGCTATATACAAGAGCTCTGATATATTGATGGCCATGCTTATAAATTAAGAAACTATTCAATTCGTATTCTTGCTACACTCAAGTCAAGTCAAAGCCCTTAGTAAAGCGAATGAAAATGAACTGTGCTGATGAAGATTATTGTTATTTCATAATTAACTAGAAATATACATGCATGCAGAAACCCCTCGCCTTGCTGGCAAAATTACTATATTTTCCGAACAAGATAACTTTATTAAGGTAACACGATAATTTTATTAAGAATGTATTTTTAAATTGAAAAAAACCCTAAATATATACATTTTTAATTACAAATTATACGTAATATATATAAGCTTCAATTGAATGTAAAATTTAACCAGAAACGAAACGATTCGCAAAACGTTTTAAAATTTTCTTATAACTGCCTTTTATCGATAAAATTTTGAGTTTGAAATAAAATTATTTTCATGCGAGAATTTGAAATAAAAATATGAAAATAACTTTGCTTTCCTCCTTTTAAAAAAATTAATATAATAGAAAAGGTAATTAATAAAAGACACTGAAATGTTGTCTTTATTCATTATACGCAATGATAAGTTTTTATTAAAACAATATAAAGCAGATAATACATCAATATTTAAAACAAACTTGGGTTTTACGATTTTTACACCTTGGGTTTTACGATTTCCAGAAATCTATTGCCCGACATTTTTTTACTCAAGCAAAACCAAATAAGCTTTTGTTTGGCCGCTCGTTTCTTTAACAATTTTTCGGATTTCTGAATGTTTTTCACTTTTTTCTACTTCTACGAAGTGTGAAGGATATTGCAAGGCTTTTACTTGGTTTTAATTAATGGACAGCGCTCTAACCAACTGAGCTACAGAGAGACAGTTGGACCTACGAGGACCCATCGTAACACGAGTACAACGAGGAAACGTAATACTTAAAGGTGATCTACAGTCCGATCTGCGCATGTGCACAAATGAGCCCACTTTTTATGATACAAACAGTTTAACTATATTTTGAGTTCTTGAAAAGCCTGATTGTTGTTTCTTGATCATTTATTATACTCTAGAAGCTTGAAAATATAAATAGTTGTCGAATAAAGCTCAATATTTTGGACACAAAAATGTAAACAAAGGCTTTGTTTACATACGGACTGTAGATCACCTTTAAACATTGCCGACTTAAAAGACTATCCATATTTAAATTAAGTTCATCAACGAGATGGTTCCATAATCGAGTTGCACGAATCATGTAAAGTCTTTGATATGTTACTGTTTTGCATTTTGGCACGACGAAACTTAATAGGGCTGTTATTGGCGGATAATCCAGTGGATCTGGAAATGTGAATAACTGGACATAGTGATGCTTGAATGATTACTAGTTTGTGAGTTATTTAATAAAAGAGCATCGTTTTATAAAAGAGCATCTTGCCTAGATATTCATGCAAATAGCAGATCGGTGCAGGGCCGTAGATACCCCCTAAGGTTTGACGTGTAGTGGTATAGTCAGTAGAGGAGGAGAATGGAAGACTGACGATGCAATTGGTTCCTCTTCTCTGTGTTCGTTCAAGGTGGTGTCTGAGACGAGAACAGATTTAAATCGTGCATGCAATGCATGTTAATCAGCACGTAATATCAAAGCAAAACAAGGCTATTTAGAATTTACCGCATGCATCAACGACTTCTTTTGAAAGCTATTCATCATATGACCATTTCGCGAGCGCACGCATAATGAGGATAGACAGGCATTCCGTTTATTTTCTACTGTATATATGCATACTTGCATAGCATTCAATGACCCATGTAATACAAGGGATTTGGAACTTCTGAAATCCAAATTTAGAACATTCTTGACCAAAGTTTGGAAAGTTATAATCATGGATTCAGATACACTATAAAGAGTATTCTAGTTGAAGATTTAGGTAAAAATTATTTTCGTTGCCGTAAAGCTGTTTAATTAAACTAAAGACTGTTTATTACCCTAAAGACCTTTGTAACCTGACCTTATAATTCCCAAGAGAGGAAGTTAAGACTTTATTTGCATTAATTATAAAGTTCAACAGTGTGTAACGAGGGATAAAGATAATAAAACCGAATAGCCAGACAGAATGTTGTTGCTACTTTTAAAACTACAAGATATATGAAGTTTATTATGAAATAAACATGGCGACAGATTCTCACCTAGTTATAAGCGAGATTGAAGTGCGGAACCTCGGATTAGGAAGCAGTGGAGATCATAAACCCAAGGAAGTTAAGAAGCAATATGTGACTGTCAGCTTGAAAGGTTTGTGTATTAATATTGCACCTACAATAGAATAAACTGTGAAGTCACGAGGACTTCAAGTTTATTCTGTAGAATTATCAAGGAATTTTGTCCATAAGCCAGTTAGATATGTATGGTCCATAACATGACGAGAATTAAAGCTGTCAGCAGATGCCCAAAGTCCTTGTATTTACCAATGCATCTTATATTGGCATTCACCTTGTATATATTCTCGAGTGAATGATTCCAAATCGCGCAAGCAGAAAACTCTGCTAATTGCCATGGCTGGGTTTCGAATCCTCGCGACCTTCGAAATGTTAGCACTACGCTCTAACTGAGCTACACGGTCAGGTCAGTCCGATTGAGCACTGGAAATTATGAATTATATAGTTAATATTGTATACACATACTCGTTTATATCAATACAGCGTTGAGCAATATTAGTTCTGCGTGTGTGTTGTGTGATGTTGTGGTATTGTTGACTCGGTAATATGATAGGATGTCAGGTAACATATGGTACTGTATGATAGGTAATACAGAACTAGTATTATTTTGATATTTTATGTGTTGGTGTTGTGTACTCAGGTGGGTATTCTTTTATTTTAAGTTGACAAAAAAACTCTAGTAATACTGGTATTGAGCGCTCTTCAAACTATCCAGTGTGTTCATACTTTGTTCAAAACAATGATTATTATTCAGTATGTAGTTGTATGTATAGTTGGCGTCGGATTACCAACAAGCGATGTCGCTTGTAACTAGATATTTATATGTATAAAAGTGTTTGCAGCGGGCTACATACAGGTTAAAATATTTATTAAAAGCGTTGCGCCTGTCCAGGCTTCCTAAGTGCGAGCACAGGCCTCTACTAAACTTGCTCCAAGTCTCTCCTTCATTGTCATATCGATCCGCTATAGTGTACATTACACGACGTAGTACGGAGGGGCGGAGCGAGAATTAGGCTGGGATTACACTATACCGGATTGATTTTCATACCGGATCAATTTTCACACCGAAGCCAAAATCAAGGGTTTTTACACTATGCCGCTTCGCTCTGTTGCCAGCTCGTATCTTTTATCGTTGCCACGGAAACAAATAATAAGTTTTGACTATTTTGGACGTTTTCTCGACAGTACTTGTGAATTATAACTTTGTTTACAAGGATTGACGACCCGACGTTGCTTTGTCTCGCTCTTATCGAAAATTAACGAGTATTTCATTAAAATTTTGCCCTTTTGAAGCAAGAAGTCAGTGTTATTACCGCTATCTTTATTTGTCTTCGCTAGAAATAATAAATAATTGTAAAGCGAAGCAAACAACAGCTATAAAATATTTAAAAGCGAGTAAATAAAACGACAATGTTAAAGTATACTTGCCGAAATCTATTTATAGTACCGGAGCGTACCGGATTGCCTGATTACACTTGGTTTTATCCGGTACAGCACGTACCGGATTACTTTTCATATCACCTCCAAAGCGAAGTGATTTTCGCGCCGCGGTACGTACCGGATTACAGTGGCGTAGTGTAAACAAGAGGCCAATCCGATACAGAAATCGCGTCGCTTCGATGCAATCCGGTATAGTGTAATCGGGGCCTTAAAGAGAGACTTGTCAACTTCGGAAAATCTCGGTTGAAAATTGTACCGAAAATGCAAGACTTCCATTGCTTTAATTCTTTCCTTCAATTTCTTTCTGTATTATTTACTATAATGGAGCTAATGTTATTTACACTGTGTTATATTAATACATATAAACACGGACAGAAAACAATTAAAGCAAGTCTTGCATTTTCGGTTCAGTTTTGAACCGAGATTTTCCGAAGTTGACAAGTCTCTCTATCTCGCTCCGCCTCTCCGTACTACGTCATGTAATGTACACTGTAGTGGATCGATATTATATGACAATAATGAAAGAGAGACTTGGAGCAAGTTTAAGGCCTCTACAGGCTGCCGCTCAGTTGGTTAGAGCACTGCACCGGAATCGCAGGGCCGTAGGTTCAATTCCTGCCAGGGACCTAAAGTTGCATTTTTCGCTTCTGTTCCTGCTTATGTGTAATAAATGTATATAAATTTCCACTCGATAATTTCCATCTACAAAACCCGTCTGCAAGATGCAATCCAACAAGATGCCAACACAATGTTGATATTTACCCATAACTTAACATGGCAGTACCCTAGTACTTATTAACGTTTATAGTTTAAGGTTTGCAAAGAACAACCTTTGTTGAATGGACCATTTGCATTATAGACTAAATTTTGATCTAGACAAAAATTTCATCACAGCTTGGAAGAGCATCACAAAATTAGTAATATTCCAAAGTTTCGTTGCGAAATGTTGTAAAATGCGGATAATATAGCCTTGCGAAATTTGCAATTTTCAGTCATTTTGTATTACAAACGGGAAATTGATGCCCCAACACCCGATTGGGCTGTCAATTTCCCGTGCGCGTAATACAAAATGACTGAAAAACGGCAAACTTCGCATGGCTATATTATGATCCGCATTTTACAACATTTCGGAACGAAACCTTGGAATATTACTAATTTTGTGATGCTCTTTCAAGCTGTGATGAAATTTTTGTCCAGATCGAAATTTAGACTATAATGCCAACGGTCCATTGGCTGTATACTTGAACTTGGGAGTTGGAGTTTAGAGGTTTGATTCCCGCCAGATGGCCTGTTGTTGCATTTTTCGCTGCTACTCTTGCATGGTTAGATCTAGTAGATTAAATGTATAAAATTCACACTCTCAACGTCCATATACAAAACCTCTTCTAGCTGTTATAGATGCATGCTATAAAGCCCCAACGGGCATCTACACAAAACGACTTGTCATATACGAGTCTTATCCATAGATATCTTATATACACTAGATAGTGCATCTAATTATTCTGCAATTCAAAAATTGAAGCCGTGATTGCAGACTCGGGATATTCCCATGAAATGAGAAGACTCGCATGTTTTCTATTTCTTAACCAGGGAACTTAAACATTAAGTTAAACCTATTCCAAATACATTTTCAAACTATTCAAATGATGAAAGTTATTGTTGTTTTTTAAGCGTTTATTAGCGAGTGGGAAACTTCAACATGGCCGCCATCTATTCAAATCGGGGTAACTGCTGGAATATTTTTGTCTTCAATTTTACTACAAGAGATGCGCTATCTAGTGTATATAAGATATCTATGGTCTTACCCCGACGTACTGTATATGCACTCGAATAAATGCATGTAATTAAGATGTCACAATTCAGATTTCTTCTTTAAACTGATGAACTGGAATAGTGGCGTCAGTTACGCGAGTAGTCGTATCGTATAAATGGGCTTTAAAAAAGGCCTCGTGCATTTGGCAGGTTATCTTTTCAATCTCTGGGCTTAACTAAAGGTGTAATAATTCTGTTCTTAATTCGCGTAGCTTTTAGGAAGTTTTTGAGCAAGTGATCAGCAATGACGCGAGACCGATCTGTTTATACAATTTTGTATTTGCATGAGCAAGTATTTTGTAGAGTTTAAGTACCTTTATAGGTTTACTCTTTGCTCTAAAAGTAAACAAGTGGAAAGCAGCATAAACTAATCAGTAAATTCACATCAAAACAGCATAAACAACCACGTAACTCTGCATGTTACGCCTATATTATCAGTTTCGCTTCGTTGCGAGTCTTGAAATTAATGTGCAAAAACATGGTAGTTCCAACAACAGCAGCAACTCCGTACAATAAATTACAGATCCTAATGAAAATGCATGCAATTAAGATGTCACAATTCAGATTTCTTCTTAAACTGATGAACAGGAATAGTGGCGTAAGTCACGCGAGTAGTCGTATCGTATAAATGGGCTTTAAAAAAGGCCTCGTGCATTTGGCAGGTTATCTTTTAAATCTCTGGGCCTAACTAAAGATTTAATAATTCTGTTCTTAATTCGCGTAGCTTTTAGGAATTAGTTTTTGTACAAGTGATCGGCAATGACGCGAGACCGATCTGTTTACGATTGTGTATTTGCATGAGCAAGTATTTTGTAGAGTTTAAGTACCTTTATATAGGTTTACTCTTTCTTTTAAAGAAGTGGAAAACAGCATAAAATAATCAGTAAATTCACATGAAAACGGCATAAACAACTACGTAACTCTATATGTTTCGCCTATTATCAGTTTCGCTTCGTTGTGAGTCTTGGAAATTAATATGCAAAAACATAGGGTAGTTCCAACGACAACAGCAACTCCGTACAATAAATTACAGATCCTATCGAAATTGCAACCATAATAGACAAATAGACCTTATGCATAATGACGTCACAAGGCTTGATGCCCGCGAGGAATCCTGGTCTTAGTAGTCATCGCCCGGGAAAATTTCGGTAGTGGCCATTTTGAATTGTTTAATTTTCCCGGGGCAATGACTACTAAGACCAGCATTCCTCGCGGGCATCAAGCTTTGTGACGTCATTATGCTTAAGGTCTGTTATCCATTATTTGAAAGTTTAATAAGAGGAGAATCTTTTGTATGTTACGTAACACGCGCTCAAAGCTAATGAATATACTTTTCCACTTTGGTATGACTATATTCAAATTTTTTTAATTTTTGATACGTTTTTCAAGCTGCAAACAAATTTACAAAGTATATATCTAGTGCTTTATCTGTAAAATAATGCTAAAATGAAGAGATTTTAGATGGTTCGCCAAAGAGAAAATGATGCCTGAAGTTCAGTATGTTTTGCTCATATTGCTGTATACAATATATAGGACGTCAATTTTACAGCATCAATGATAATTGTATTTAAATTGACAATATTTAACTGTTATTTTGTGTTTCCCAACCCCTACCTTCGTATACAAATTACGTAATTTGTAATACGGCGGCACAAGAACCTTTGGAACCAGGGTACTCGACCGCCAGATACATTTAAAACGGCCGTTGCCAACTGTGTAAACTACAAAATAAGGCTAAAAGAAAATAATCTTGGGAGAAACACCAAATAGATTTTAGGACTTTTCATCGCAAAAACGCGACATTGAAAAAAAATTGTCTCATAATCTGTTCAGTTATTTCCAATTATTTCTCATATTTTTTGGAAGAAAATATGAAACTACTTTTCATGTCGCTCTAAGCAACGAATTTTTGTTGTATATACCCTGTAGTGTAAAACTGTTGATGTATTTGTCCTCAAATTATATCCTCGCATTTGGAACAACAACAAATGTAGCCACAATAAATGGCCGTCATTAGCCTATGTATAGCATAATTGTCAAAATAGAATAGTGGTCATAGATTATCAAATCACAGTCGTGTTTTCTGTTTACCTCAATTCCTTGAAAGCTATATGGAGTACAGAAATGCTTCAGCATGTAAATTGTGTAGACCTAAAAAAAAAAAAATTAAAAAAAAATAAAAAAATAAAAACATTTTGCAAAAATACTTCGGGTCCATGTCTCTTTAAACAAGTCGTAATTATACGTAACACCAGCTCACCATAATACTTTTTTGTTCAAGATAAAAGAGACAAGACAAAAGATTCTGGAACTTTGGATCCAGCTGATCACGGTGAATCAAAGCTGTGCACAAAATGGAAAGAGGTTAGCATGTTGGCTCAATGAACCATATGCCTAATGACGTCGCAATGCGTGATGCGCGCTCGGAATTGTGGTCTTCCTAATCACAGCGGGAAAATTCAAAACAATCTAACATGGCTACTGTCAAATGCGAGTGTGCTAGCTGCTGTTTTTTGTCGTCTTTTGGAGACTATTGAAGTCAGTGAAGAACCTAGTTCTTTTCAGAACTCTTGCGCGGGTCTTCAGAGGTTTGGCAGCCCTGAAAGTAACTGTAACAGTCCGCTTTCATCGACAAGTACGAGTAAAAGAAGTGGCTGTTTTATGTGTTGTGTTCCTGGTTGTTTTACCAACAATAAAAGAAATTCCGAACCATGTTCCGTTATATATAAAGAGTTATATTCTGTGTTTTTATTGTTAGTTGATAATTCGTTGGTGTAGGCTTTGCAACATTCAAGTATGATAGCTGGTTCATGTATGTTTTACGACGTCCTCGAAAATGCAAAGAACACAGTCCATGGCCCATAGTTGGAGAGAAATCTTTGCAGGAAATTGTCCACTTCTTTATACGGAATTATTTGGATTCCACAATTTTACCATTTGGAAAATTATAAAAGGAAAGCTTAGCTTGGGATACTGTTGACAAAACAAGCAGGAACACAAAACACAAAACATTCTTTTACTCGTGCTGGTCGATGAAAGCGGACTGTTGCCGTTACATTTAGGGCTGTCGAACCTCTGAAGACCCGTGCAAGTGTTAAGAAAAGAACAGGGTCTTCAATGGCTTGAACCTCCTCCAAAAGACGACGAAGAGCTACAGCACTCCCGCATTTTTATAATTGTATGTTTCCAAAACCAACCTTCCTGCACTGAAAAATTTACTTTCCAAAATAATTTTAGTGGCGCAAAAATACTAGCATGCTCCAAAGTATATATAGTTTACACAAATTTTGCGGAATTTGCACAGGAGCCGTAGCCAGAGTTCTGGCTGAAGGTATATTTTCTGAAGCACATCTAATTAATGCAGAGTGTTTTTCTGATTGTGCTTACTCTTTCTTTATCACTTTACATTGCAATGCGACTACATATATTAGCTAGAATTTGTTATTAGATATGCGCAGTAAAAGTGCGCAATCAAAACTGATGAATTACCTTAAACTGTCTTTTTAGAGCTTACAAGTCAGTGTCGCTAAAGATGGACTTCGACGTGGAGATGTTGTGAAGATTAAATTTTTCCAACAGGCATTCTTTATTACAGGACACTTTGACACGTAAGCGAATAATTTGTACATTTTATTTGAGACAATTTTTTTCAGAGATAAGGATGTTTAAAAGCTTTTAGGAATATTGTGCATACGTAATTTAATTTAATTTAATTTAGTAAGAATTTGTAAAGCGCTAAAACTATATAGAATGTAGTCTAAAGCGCATAAATATACTGTATACTGTTACAAAAACTAAGTCAAAAAACCATAAAACATCATCAATACGCTATTTAAAAACAAGAAATAGTGGAAATATATGCATTTGTATATAAAAATGTCTTAAGACTTGTCTTAAATGAATCCAAAGAAGATGAAAGTACCGAATTTCATACAAATGCAAAAAGTAGGTCCTGCTTTCATATAAAGGCACGAAATTTATATTTCGGAATTCCATACAGCTACGAATTACAATAATCCATATGTGCCGTAATGATGCATGAACCAAAATTTTGGTTGAGTTGTCAGTTATATAGTAGCAAGTCGGTCTGTTACATGCACGGGTAAATATCTCATAGATAGTCTGAGATATATTTGCATGACTGCTTGTTCCCAGTTGCATGTTGTTGGCATATGTTATCATGTTGCAACAAGGTTGATGAAGCAACAAGTTGTTCCAACATGCATATTTGTTATCGTTTGCACGTAAAAAGTTGACGACAACAAGCTCGTAGCGATTGTTACGAACAGTCTGTATGTTAGTCTTGTTGGAGTAACTTGTAGCAAGTCTGTTACATTCATCAATGATAGCACCTGATAACAACTTGTTCCAGGCTTGACAAAACCCTGATTTCAACTTGGTTGCTGGTTAATGACGTTTCTACGATAATAATTTTCCGTCTACATGCAATAGGCTTCTCGGCAAAGCGGAGCTTCCTGTTGAAGACCTGATCAGCAGAAAGGGAACAAAAATTCCCTTCAAAGTAAATCTACGAGATGGAAACAGCCATCCCATTGAGGTAAATTTTTATCGTGAAAAGTATTAATTGTTATCATCATTAAATTTAAAACACGGCAAGGAATATAATTACGTATTCTCTGAATTAGCGTCATCAATTTTTTATCTCGTTATACCTAATTGATACCTTTGCCAAAAGGAGAGCTAAATAATTGCTTAAACTTTAAATTTGTATGTTATGAACCAAAAAGTTGTTTCGACAATTACGTCGCGAGTAGCAGCGCGTGAATATATAGATTTGAATGTTTATAAGGTGTATCTACTGTATAAAAAAGGTAATCCAATTTTGGCATGCTTTATCGTGCATTATATATTACGTTTAGGGGCCATTCACAAAGGATGTCCGAGCCGAGGGGCGGGGGGGGAGGGTGGTTTGGAAAATCAGGACAAACTCGGACATTGGGGAGGAGGGGGGTTTTTAGCAATCCGGATGTCCGAAATTTTAAAAAATTCAAAAACAAATTTCTTTTTCCTCTATTTTGAGCTCTCCTTCCCATTGTGAAATTGTCACTTTGACTATGCGGTTAACACTAGATTTTGTTTTAATACGTAATTTGTATCTTTTTGTATTCACGTTTACAGTTATAAAAAAGTTCTAAAAGTAAAAAAAGTTTTTTACTCTTGACATATACAAGGTTGCGTGAGTTTTTGCGAGGCATGGCGGATGTCCGGGGGGAGGGGGGTCACTAATTCGGATAATGCCGGACAAGGGAGGGAGGGGGGGGTCTGAAAATCCATCATTTGGCCGGACATCCTTTGTGAATGGCCCCTTAAATATTTACGTACTTGTTTTCATACCACTAAATATCAGGCTTATAGGTGTTGAATACTGCATTCTTGTATCATGGCGATTAAAATAGTCAAATACGGGCGATATGAAAATGTCTCACGAAATCACATTTTTCCACAATTGGGAATTGCATGTAAAGCTATTGTCTGAGTATTGAAATTTTTTTTTTTTGGGATTCAAATTTAAGTTGCTTGAATCAAGATGGCGCAACGCATGTGTATGAATCAAGTTTTATCGCTTCGTTTCCTTAACACTATGTCAGCAAGATATCCTGCAACGATTAGCTCTGTTTTCTGTGCGCGAACATTGCGCAATTGACCAAGTCAGACAGCAACTGGAACAATTGTGGCAATGTGCATCTTGCGCAACGCACAAGCCGTTTTATTATTTTTTAAAACAATGAGATAATTATTAACATAACAAATTATAAACCGAAGTTAATTATTAAAAGTTCGCACAGAAAAGGTGGGTAATAAATACGCCCTCCATTTAGAAATCAATTTAATAACTAAACTAACTTACATATGTAATAATATTGCGTCAAGTAACGGGGAGGAGGGTGTGATATCAATTGACTTCAGCCAGAGAGTTGACCTTTCGCGACCAGATTGAAGAGTAGAATGAACTGATGCACATACTGCCCTAGATTATATCACCACTCCTATCCGCTTCCTGCGCATTACATTCATGTGACTACAAATTATCGGGGCTAATACCCACGTGTCCCATTACAATAGCTCCCTATCTCTAAAACTAGATGCAGGAAGCAATAAAATCTTTATTGGTATGCCAATAATTCCTTTATCGCTTCCTTTCCTTAATACTATGTCAGCAAGATATCCTGCAACGATTAGCTCTGTTTTCTGTGCGCGGACATTGCGCAATTGACCAAGTCAGACAGCAACTGGAATAATTATGGCAATGTGCGTCTTGCGCAACGCACATGCCGATTTATTAATTTTTTAAAACAATGAGATAATTATTAACATAACAAATTATAAACCGAAGTTAATTATTAAAAGTTCGCACAGAAAAGGTGGGGTAATAAATACGCCACGAGTCTCCTTGGGTAAAGGTGACGCGACGCATGTGTAAGAATCAAGTTTTTGTAATAAATTTCAACTCGCAATGTTGCAGCGAAATTGAATGATTAAAACATTTTAGAGAACTGGAAGTTTCAGCATGAGCTCCACCTTTGAATTTACTATATGAGTAAATTCTTAAACACGTCCGAATTTATCATTATGATAAATTCGCGGCACATTTTAAAAAAGTTTAAAAAAGAAAAAAAAGTTTAAAAAGTTAGGGTTAGGTATTAGTCGTTAGTGGTTAAATTAAGGTTAGGGTTGGGGTTAAGATTAGTGTTACGGGTTAGATGCCGCGAATTTATTATTATGATAAATTCAAAATGTGCCGCGAACTTATCATAATGATAAATTTGGACGTGTTTAAGAATTTACTCATATAATAAATTCAAAGGTGGAGCTCATGCTGGGAAGTTTGCAGACTTAAGGTGGCTCGCTACAGTTTATAGAAATGTTGAAAATGCGTAAACTAGATCACCTTTTTGAAGAGATGATGCTCTTTACAAATGAAATTTGTATATTATATATACAGCGACAATCAAACAGTCGAAAATTGGTCAGAAAAGTGACGTCATCACTGTTGCTATGGCAACAATGACGATTCAAGATGGCCGATAATTTGGCTTTGAACGCATTTTACTTTAAAAAAAGGTCGGTTACCCCCATTTTTTATTTCAGAAAACATTTTCTTATAGTACAATACACTATCTGACCAATTTTAAAAAAATCTGTAATGCCAAATTTTTAAAAAAATTATAAACACGGTTTTGCGAAATAAATTTTTTTTGCATTACAGAATTATTTTTAAATTGGTCAGATAGTGCATTGCACTATAAGAAAATGTTTTCTGAAATAAAAAATGGGGGTAACCGACCTTTTCTAAGGTATAATGCGTTCAAAGCCAAAATGTTGGCCATCTTGAATCGTCATTGTTGCCGTAGCAACAGTGGTGACGTCACTTTTCTGACCAATTTTCGACTGTTTGATTGTCGCTGTATGTATAATATACAAATTTCGATTTGTAAAGAGCATCATCTCTTCAAAAAGGTGTCTAGTTTGCGCATTTTCAACATTTCTATAAACCGTAGCGAGCCACCTTAACACGTTTCCCAAATGGGCAACAAAAATCATAGGCAGCCCACTATAATCTAAACACCGGACTGAATTTAAATTAAAACTGCAGTGAAGTTATAAAATTTAACGAAAATAATCACAAATTAGCGAAATATTAATTTCGCAATGTATTTCGCTAATTTGCGATTATTTTCGTTAAATTTTATAATTTCACTGCAGTTTTAATTTAAATTCAGTTGTTTAGTGGGCTTCCTATGCAAAAATTTGGACAAATGTTCGAAAGTTGGAAGAACATTTAAATCCTAAATGTGGAAAAATGCAATTTCAATCGACCACTTTAATTCAGATCGTATTTGCTCATTTTTTATCGCAATGATTCAATAAAGGTGTCATTTGACAGCTAGATGCTTATTATAAACGTAATAATTAACTAACGATAACCTGTCAGAGTTGGATTACCATTATTTTTATACACCCCGTACAAGATTATTAGGGACCGGTCATCAAGGGTGGGTAGTAGCGAAGTAGTTGTAGTTCGCTACTGTAGCGAACTAGTACTACAATTTTCAAGTAGCCAGTAGTTTTTGACTACTTTTTTAAAACAGTAGTTGTAGTTATAGCGAACTTCATTTTGCCTAAAAGTAGCCAAGTAGTTGACTACTTTTCAAACAGCAGATCGCTATTCGCTACTTTTTAAAATTGTTAACAACTTGATAGAATAGCATGATATTGAGACACAGTTTGCTTAAATCCATACTCAATAGTCAATTTGCACTCTTGAACACTGTAGTGCTTACAAAAATGTTGCTTTGTGTTTACTGTTGCTACTCGTAAGTCGATTTGTTATTTGGTTACATTTCAGCCTAGCTGAGTTAGTAGATGCTCCAAATACAGTAAGACTAAAAAATATAGCGTAGCGAAATAGCGAAATAGTTCGCTACATTTTTTAAGCAGTAACTGTAGTCAGTAGCGAACTACCTTTGTTCAAAAGTAGCAGTAGTTGTAGCTAACTACATATTTTGGAAGTAGCTGTAGTTATAGCGAACTACAAAAAATTTGTAGTCAACCCACCCTTGCCGGTCATTTATAATGGGAGGGGGGGCGGTGTTTTAGAGAAGGGGGTGGCTTCAACTGTTTTGGCCTGAATTGGGGGTGGCCTCAAACTGAAAAATATGTGACAAGAGGCAACCCCAATTTTTTAATACTTTATTTTCTACTCATTTTCAATCACTCCCCTTTATCGTATTCCACAAAATAGTTCACCTTTTTTATCCTATAATCGTAGTTTCCATAGTTTATTAATTATTTAGGCTACGCAATGTCTTACACCAGTACTTGTCCCATTTCCTATTTTACACCAAAAAATGTAACGAATAAATGTTAGAGTGGGGAGGGGAGTTCTAAATTTTCTAGATGAAGGTGGGGGCGTCTTGAAAATAAAGGTCTTGCGATCGGGGGCGCCCCCCAAAAATGTCCAATATTTATTTGTAATATGTCCGGTATTTATCACCCGCCGCCTCCCCCCTCTCCCGCCCCCCCCTGTCCCTTAGACTTAGGACAGGTCTATAGTAGAACTGTAGAACCAGTGTTATGACTGTTTAAAATAAAGTCTGGTTCACCGTTGAAATCATGCATCAACTGTCTTAAAGGATATTGGCAATAAAAAAATTAGTTTGTCTCATTCAAAAGAACTCTTAAAATTATATGTTAAACTCTATTACCGATTTGTCATATCTTTGCCTAGTTCTCAAAATATTTAGACCGAAATTAATCAGCTGTCTGCCATCTTGCACTAATTCTTGATCTCATTAACTATGGTTTTGATGACGTCAGGAGTTATTTAACCATATAAAACTACTCTAAAATGACCGAGAAACAATCCAAAAAATTGTTTGAAATGTTTTTATAATCATTTATAAATTTCAGACAGCAACCACTAACAAAGTTTTGAACCAATATTGATCGCTTACTCTCAAGATAAAAAATAGGCGTGACCCCTCTCTTGACGTAACATGCATATCCTCAATAATTCAAGATGGCGAACAGCTCACTTTTTTCAGTCGAAATATTTTGAAAACTAAACAAGATATAAACAATCTGTAATAGAGTTTAATATATAGTTTTAAGAGTTCTTTCAAATGAACTAAACTAATTTTTTATTGTCAATGTCCTTTAAGTATATCAATATATTTGTTGGTCTCTTTATTTAAACAGTTATAATATCACTGCCATATACCATTAGTTTAATTGGACACATCAATAATCTTGGTGTCAAAATTCATCTCTTAGATTGAATTTTCATTTCTAAGATCGAATTTTCGATGTTTACCAATAACCAAACTTATTGTTAGCATGACAAAATTACTGGATGCTGATTGGTTGAGAGGAGTACAATTATTTCATTAATTGTACTGCAGTAAAATTAATGATTTTCCCAAAACAAACAAAATGGCGGAAAGGTATTTTAAACACAGCACCAAATTTTGCTTTAACAAAAGAACTAAATGAAAATACAAACAAAAGCACCAAATTTTGGTTGAAAGTCCGGCAGGACTGGGCTTTGACGAGAGAATATGATGTTGACATTGAGAAGTACGTATCCAATTTTGTCATGCTAATAATAAACAAGTAATCATGCGATGTTGCTCGTACAATTAGGGATTAATAGTACTCGTGATGTTTGGAAATTTTGCCAAATTGGACCGCGCGGCTTGTCCAATTTTGGCAAAATTTCCAAACATCACTCGTACTATTAATCCCTAATTGTACTCGCCATCGCATGATTACCCTTTACGAATACTTATCTACATACAGTGATGTCTAACAATAAAGACAACCTGTATAAAAGTGTACATAATATAAATACTCTAATTTATTTCCAAAGACTCTGTTTATAATATAATTCTTTAAATATCATTAGGCTTAAGATAATTATATTTTATCGTTAGGCTATACTTAAATGTTCTATGGAGCATATTTGTCCAGGCGCACCGAGTGATGTGAATGATAACGTTGATGTCTCTGGCCAGCCGTTGCTTCCAACAAGGTAAAATGTAACGAAACTATATATTGGGACGAAAGTTGCTACGGGTAAAGTTTCACTAGGTTTTCAAACCATATATAATGTTAGGGTATACACTAAGGGCATTACATATATAGCTACTGGTTGCTACAAAATTTTGTTTTTTCTTACCATTGATAATTTATACCTATATTAAAGTACTATCTTATAAAAAAAAATGAAAGTTCAAAGTTCACTATTAGCAAATTAATATCTCCTATATCGTTAGAAACCTCGCAAAAAAACTAAATATAGTACATTTAAACGGCTGCTAGCCTGCTATGATTTTCGACACCGATTTTAAGTTAGCTACATAAAGTTAAAAAACAATATTTTGTGGCCTTTTTGTACCATTTTGCGATTTTTGACCGTTAATACCTCGGAATAGGCTTGGAAGACAGTATTAAATTTGAATCAGAATTGTACTGAAATTATGTGTTCTGCTATTCCTAACTTAGTCACAAATGTGGAATGGTATAAAATAATAGAACCCCAATAGCTAACGTAATTATTTCATGTGTGCAATCGTATGGCCGGGGTACTGCATGAATGGCCACAATGTAGTTCAGTAAGGTAAGTATACTTATAACAACGAAGGTGTGCTCCTCAAGCCATTATTACTATAAGTTATGATATACTGGCAAAGCTATGTTGTAATCTTTCAATAAACCGTTTCCACATAACCTGGGTTGTAAGCCAACTGTCAGAAAAGTTTGATTTTGGTCTCCGATGTGCAAAATTAGGTTCTATCACATATACAGTTCTCCCAATTCATTCAAACCTTTGGGCAGTTCATTTCTGGATGACTAATGCAAAGTAAGCACGCATGCTATAGAAATTATTTAACGATAGGCCTACCAGATAATTTTTTGTTCAAATCCGCCATCTTGAATTTTGAGTAAAAATTACTATCTAAATGCATCTATTTTTCTGAATCTTGATTTGAAATCACAATTTTTACTGGCTACTGAATTCCAGGATCTGCCTACGCTGAACCATAAATTCTGGTGCAGCGCTCTAACCAACTGAGCTACAACGAGACAGTTATCGAGCTCTAACCACAAGTTCATGTATAAATACTAAGGTGTTATCAATGCACGGTGTATGGGTGAATATCGATAATTAACCAACAATTAGTTATATCGAGTACGATGCAAAAATCCTGATATCACATTAGAAACGAATAGTATATTTCAATAAAGAAACTATCTACAAACAGTACATCTCAACTTTGAATTCTTTCTATTTTCATTTTCCCAGTACACAACCTCTACAACATTTGCCCGGAACACATCCTGTACAAGCAATCCGTAAGGACGTTTCTTTTCCGGAGAAACCACGCGATTTCCAGGTAAGGATTAACAAAGGGAAGCATGTGTGCAAGATATGTTTTGAACTTTAAATGGTTGAACTGCAATGCCAGGTTTGCGGCGGCGAAGCTCTTCCTTGGGTCGGGAAAGAGTAGAAATTGTGGGTTTCTGAAACTGCATTTCCTGCATTGTGGAGGCACATGGACAACAATGTGAAAGTCTTAATAAATCACCTTTTAACAATGTCAAATATATCGATTTTGGAAAACTTATCAATGAATTTCACTGGGAGACAAAAAGAACGTTCAGTAGATTCTATGAGTAGATGCGCGCAAGATATACGCTACAATGACTGCCTTTCCCCCTGCCTTTCCTGCCTTTTCGTCCCCAAGTGTAATACGGACCGTTTTAAAAATTCTTTTATTAACATCACAGCTAGTCGTTTAAAATGAGTTTTATTGTAAATAGTTATATAGTTTTTATGATAATTTTTTAAATTACCTGTTGTAAAAATAATCAATTCCGTTTGTAAACTGTAATTTATGTATATTTGATAAACTACTACTACTACTACCACTACTACTACTACCACCACTACTACTACTACTACAATTTACCATCCTCTTTTCATCGGATGGAACGAATCTAAAACTACAGTCTGAAAACATTTTCAGGTCCGTATAAAAGTGATCGAAGGACGTCATATTTCTGGACGCAATATTAATCCTGTGGTAAGAGTGACGGTGGGTGGTATCAAGAAACAAACTCAAGTGAAATACACGACCAACCAACCATATTACAATCAGGTAAAACTATAGAAGACGATGCATGCTTATTTCTCAAAACTGGTATATCTTGGTACAGTACATAGCTACAAAACGTGACTGCCCTATTTCGATATTTCGCATGCAGCTATGTCAATTAAGGTTGTCCCCCGAGCGAAGCGGAAAAGTCGAATACGAGCGCGAAAGGCTGCTGGGATATCGCTAATAAATGAATGAATCTATTAGCGATTCCCAGCAGCCTTTCGCGCTCGTATTCGACTTTTCCGTTTTGCTCGGGGACAACCTTAATTGAAATAGCTGTATATATGATTTTACATGTCAAAATGCCTTTCCGAATGTGAAGTGTTTCATGTTTCACATGTGGAACATTTTTTTGCAAAAAAAACCCTCTCTGCATGTATAGTAATATTTACAGCATGCATGAGCGTCCGTGTTGTGTCGGATATATAAACTCAAGCCGAATAAAACATTCGTATTCTTCAACAATTTAATTTAAAATAAATGAATGAGATTTGGTGAAAAAATTGAACTTAAAGTTTATGTAAATCAGTATTATCTTGTATCAGATATACCAACTCCTTCACGCTCATGATTTCTTTTGGTTTTTCCTCATGAATTATTTATGAGTTTCACAACGTTACATGTGAAATCCAAATTGAATTGAGCATTTTCACATTCCACATACCAGAATTTCATATGTAAAAGGAAATGTGAATTTTCCGTTAGAGAAAAGACTTCAAATAAATTACAGAAAATATTCCTCATTTATTAAGCGTTGCTTTCGTGGTTTGTTCCCATGGATTTAAATATTTCTACATTTTATTTTCAGACGTTTTCTTTTAACTTTGCTGCCAAGTTTCAAGAATTATTTGAACACGACGTGAAATTTGAGGTAAATATTGCATAGAACTCCTTTTTAGACCTGCCATTCTGTTTCCCATTAAGTGCTTGAATACACCCTTTCGATAATTACGTCACACATACTTTTCGGTGTTCGAGCCTCGCTCTCATTAGTAAATTACGCAAGGTGATTGGCTCACAATTCATGAGGGCGAGGCTCCCAGGCCAACGTAATTATCGAAAGGGTGCATTCCATTGGTCTCAATATGGAATTGAATGCTAAATGAGCTACGAATTTAATGAAAACTAAACTGTGCATTGGAACAAAATGTATAGTACGCATTCCATTGTACTCTCAGTGGGAATGAGAATTTTTATTCAATATCGCGTGATCATAATCAGCCAATTATTAAGCCGGTTACAGACGAGCAAGTTTTCTATGACAAGTTTTTATGTGACAAGTTTTTTGCCAGGTGCACGTGTGTATATGCAACAAATTTTATATGACAAGTTTCCATATGACAAGTTCTATTTTAAATTATATAGTACCTTATTGAATTCTGATTGTTTAATTGGCTGTTTATGGTCACGTGATATTGAATAGAACATTCCATTTCCCAAGAGTGCAATGGAATACGTTCCATTGCACTCTTTGCGAGTGCAATTGTACTATACGTTTTATTCCATTGCACTCTTTGTGTTTTCGATAAATCGCATCCGTCAAAATGATTCTCATACGAATCTACTGTATTAGTCTATTTTGGTATTATATAAAACAAATAATGAATGTTTATTCGTGCAATGGTAAGAATATTTTCATTCGGTGAAAGATGGAATGTTCCATTCAACTCGGCTGTCGCCTCGTTGAGTGGAACATTCCATCTTTCACCTCATGAAAATATTCTTACCATTACACGAATAAACATTCATTATTTGTATATTATTTACTGGCGTGAACGTGTCAACAAGTTTACTTTGACAATTCGACAACTCTAGAAATTAATATTCCATAAATTATCTCTCCATCTGAGCAATTCTAACAGGTTTTGTTATTTCCGAATCAGTCCAACGTAAGGTGTTTACCGCCGCCATGACAGAAAAATTATAATAGTCCGCTGGCCAATTACATCAAATGCTCAGATTACTTTGACAAGTTTTCTTTGTTGACCCATACAGACGAACAAAATTTGTACTTTGACAATTTATTTTCTATGATAAGTGCACTTGTTCAAAAGCTGGCATGCTAACTTTTGAACAAGTGCACTTGTCATAGAAAAAATTGTCAAAGTTGCGCATACAGACGAGCAAATAAAACTTGTCACATAAAACTTGTCATCTTGCTTAAATGCCCATAGACGACCGCCAAACGTTCTGAAAGTTGCATTCTGATGACATTTTTTGTTGGAAGCTGTCAACTGGCATTTTCTTAGAGTATATGTTGTCACCTCTCAAACCTCTGATTTTGGCGTTAAAGTGCCTATATCACTTGTGGAACCTTTATGGATTTGAAAAGAGCGTAAAAAGTTAGTTCATAAGTTCTGAAGCTTTTCTTGATTTAGTGCAATAGTTTTGACGATATAAGCCTTCAAACAACGGACTGTTCCTGAGTCCCAGCCTCCTGGGGTCTAAACACAGCTATTGAATTTGGCCTTTTTCGAAACTGTCCATTGTGCATAGGAGCCTGGGACTCAGGAACTGTAGGTAGTTTAGAGACCTGTATCTTCGAAATTATTGCACTAAATCAAAAAAATGCTTGTGAATTTATTAACTAACTTTTTACGCTCTTTCAAATCCATAAAGGTACCACAAATGATATAGGCACTTTAACATTTGAGAATTTTAAAATACGGCTTATGAATGTACCATGTTGACAAAATTTCAAGTTTACTTTTCACAAAAATAAACTCCACCATTAGAAAGATCGCAAAAAGTATACATAAGACATTAAAGCGAGTAGTGCGAACTTTCAAGTCGGTTTTAGTACCTTTTAGCATTAATAAGTGCATTTTTTTCATCTATGAACGTTAATAACTCAAAATCGGCTACGAAAATCATACTACTTGCTTATTAAATGTCGTGTTTACTTTTTGCAGACTTTCTAATGGTAGAGTTTATTTTTGTTAAAAATGAATTTGAAATTGTTGCATTTTGAATTTGTCAACATACTACTTTGAAAATAGGCAATATATTAATATTCCCAAATTCGTGGCTTTTAGACTGTAGTGTCAAAGAGATGTAGCTAATTTGCTCAGGGAAAACATTTAATAAATAATGAAACATTATTTATACCTGAACCATATAGTGACAAACATCATGCTTTTGACCTGTATCTAAAATTATTAGCTATCAATATGCACATTAAACACATTCTCGTATTTTTTTATAGGTATTTGACTCGCGCCGATTTCGTAACGATTCGTTGATTGGCTTTTACAAGGTAAGGACTTTTTCTTTGATTTGGCACATCCTCTTTACCACATCCTCTTCACCACATCATTCTCTTATTTATTTGCAGTGTGATATACGAGAAGTATACAATTTTGAAGAAGGTAACAGTTTCTTTCATTTTCTTTCTATAAAACTTTCACGTCCATTCATAGTTATAATTTCAAATTCTTGTAATATTTAACACTTTCTTACCGAAGGTGTTTTAAATATTTTATTATATATTTTCACAACGTTTCGGGTCGTCTTCAGGCAATGACTTACAAAAAATCATTACAAATCTTGATTACTGACACATCAGCATTCAAATGTTTGTGCATGGTGATTTTGTCAGAATTAAATTGTCCAGAATGGCTCTGCTTTGGTATATTGGGTGAGCATTTTAATGTAATCTATATCATTTTTATTGGATTGATAATTTATTATCATCACCATTCGATGATACAGGGTTGTTCCAAAAAAACTAGCTTGAACAGCCTCTAAAACGACCATAGTCTATGAAGATATGATGTTCTGGAATTCCGGCAAACTTCGAAGCCACAAAATAGAACACCTTTGTTTGATGCTGAACTGTATACGTAACCGTGCACAAATCCTTTGTCTCAACGTCATGAAATATTATTCATCGAGGCTGCACGTTTCATCTCTGCTATCCCTATTGGACGGTTACTTAATTATACGAAAACTAAATACAATGAGCTCATGCATTCACCATGGCCGTGAACAAATTAACATCAACTCGGACAAAAACATATCATAAACACTTCTGTTTGGTTTCAAGACCATCATATTTTGATAGACTATCAGACGACAAGGGACAACAGCACACTCACCTACGAAAGTTGCTATATCTGGGATTGTCTATTTGTTTTGTTGCCGATGACTACTAAGACCAAAATCCCCCCGCGCCATCAAGTCTTATGACGTTATTATGCATAAGACAGTGAACTCTATGTAATCTGGAACGATAATTTTTTTTTGGGGGGGGGATTGAAGTCAGTGCATTTTAGGTTTTCTGAGTTTTGAGCAGAAATACTCAACACTGAACGTTGTGCTGTATATGAAACTGAAGCTATTGATAAACGCTATTTGGCGTAGAAATTTTAAGACTTTAGCTAAAAGGGGAATATTTAAAAACTACAAAAATAATTGCCATTAATTCGTCATTTTTTGGCCGAATATGTCAGTTGTTTTTGTATTTTTAAAATATTTTTCTTTTCGCTGAAGTCTTGAAATTTCCACACCGAATAGCAATTTTCAATAGCTTCAGTTTCATATATAGCGCAACGTTTGGGATCAAGTATTTCAGCTCAAAACTCAGAAAAATCATTTTTGGCTTTAGCGAATCTTGGGCCTTATCATAGGAATGATCGTTCCAGTTTACATAGAGTTCACTGACATAAGGTCTATTGTGGCGTTAGCCTGCGAACAGGCTCTCAAGCTGAATTGAGAGCCTGCATCGATGACTAATGAATTTGAATATCTGCCCCGTAACGTTCGTTTTTCCAAATATGGAATGTCTATCCTTATATGGTGTTGTTTACAACTTTCGTGCGAACTAAATTTAGATCGTGCAAACTAAATTTAGACTGTACAGTTTATACTGTTTTTCGAAATATAAGATATTCAAGCAAAAGTTCAAATGTTTTAAATACTGTTTTCTCAAAACAGAACATTTCGTGCTTTGAGATAAGACGGCCAAGACCAATTTGATCAGTTAATGTGTTTTTTATGCATAATGCTTAAGCAGTTGACATATATAGAGTTCAGCGGAAACATATAAATTATAGCATCTGACCAATGAGAATTTCGCGTCACGATTTGAGACGCAGATATTCAAATTCATTAGTCATCGATGCAGGCTCTCAATTCAGCTTGAGAGTCTGTTCGCAGGCTAATTAGAGGTCAGGATCACATTGTTATGAGCAGAACCAATGCGCAGAATGGACTTGACTTCCCCTTTAAAAAAAAACAAGTAGGGCGCGCTGGTTGTTGTGCAGTACAGTTGCAACATGCATGCACATACATAGGCTACCTGGATATATTTGGTAGTGATGTTAAGTTTCCTTACAGTAAGATCCTTAATGTTGCATGCATATAGAATATATTCTCATTTTTTGTTTGCAGAGTGATTTTGAAATCCAGCATACTGAGAGAATAAAGGCGTGTTCAACACCGCTATTGGCAACCGGATCTCTACAAGAGATAAGTTCACTTACCCTCATTGCAGAGGGTATATGGTATAGTTGCCATATTAAGAGGAAATACTATAATCAGCACTATTACATGCTTATTAGCAGCGTACCGTAAACCTCCGAATATAAGCCCCCCCCGAATATAAGCCCCTCCCGAATATAAGCCCCCCTCCCCGTGTATAAGCCCACCACATGTAGTACTTTTACTTTACTTGTTTGTCACTATTACACTAACACAAAAGATCGTCCGTGTATAAGCCCCCCCCCCCCCCGTATATAAGCCCCTCCTTGTATAAGCCCATCAAAAATCGCTTACGGAAAAATATAAGCCCAGGGCTTACAGTCGGAGGTTTACGGTATTTTGTTCTTAATGCTGAATACCTCAATGGCCTTGGCAATGTTCCTCGAGCATATTCGGCTGGGAAGGATTAGTCAAACTCTGCCAATCGGTGAACTATAGAACAAGCTAGAACTAAGATTATATGGCGATTGATTGTTGTAACATATTATAATAATGAGAGATTGAGAATGCACAAACAGGCCGGGGTTGCATGGTGATCGCGATCTAATTAATGCTAAGCACTTAAGTGCTTAGCCATGATTTCATGATAATATATAATACTTGACAAAACCATGCAACTCTCTAGCCTGTGTGTCAGTAACAGTGTAGTCAACTGGAACACAGGCTATAGTAACACAAAACGCACTACTGTGTACTTACTGTAATTTTAGATGTTACAAAATATATTTTTATATACAGTTCATAATATTGTTTGATTATAGCGTACTTGGATGATTAATTGCCTGCAGAATTATTGTTTAGCTATTTCGTTTTAGCGCATCTTATTCAGTTGACGCAACATCATTTGACCAACGAAAGTGCGCGATGTTTCGTCTCCGACTTTGACCGTTATTTACTGGTTGTTATAAGTAAAAAAATTGGCCAAATCAACCAAAATATTGTTGGTGAATATCCGTATACCATTTGTATTATAGTTAAAACAACCTATATTTATTTGGTTGAAATATGCTCAATTTGACAGTTTAAATTTTAGTCATTTTAACTTTTGAATATAGGTTGGAATTACCTTTTTTAATTGGTCAAAATAACCATAAATTTTTAGTTCAATCAACCAATAATTAATACGTTAAAATGACATATTACAGATTTATAGGTTAAAGTAACCATTTTCTATGGTTTGTTTTAACCTATTTAATTTTAGTTGTTTTAACCTATTAAAACAACCTATTTCTTGTGGGTTATAAACCAACCCATTTTTAATGGTTTGTTTTAACCTATTTATTTTCGGTTCTTTTAACCTATTGAAATAACCTATTTTTATCGGGTTGTCCTAGACCAAACCAAATAACCTATTTTTTTTGGTTATTTTAACCTATCAGTTTTTACAGTGTAACAAGACAAAATGTCAACTATGTTCAAGTCGCAAGGAAGAGAACAGTTCATTGCTTCATTACAAAGATGGCTGCGTCTATGCTATGTATGAGATGCAACAGTTGACAGGAACTTTTCAGGTAACCGTGTTAATTTGGCAGCATGAGCATTAGATACGGAGAAATACGCAGAGATACGCATGCATAAGCAGAAGTACATTAATGAATACCTCTCCCCCTGTAACTAACTTTGGAGATTGAACCTTTAACTACAGCACGATGTTTTAATGAAAAAATTCAAATCTTTCAAATTAAACAAGTCATCTAGTAAAACGCTGTCCGAATTTTATATACTAGGCGCGAAGATGAATTGGATAAGTCAATTTTCAGACACATAAATTTTGAGTCGCACTAAAAAGACGACGTTAAGCGTGCGTTTTAACCGATTGTTCTTAAATTTGCACACATTGTAGGTGCATGTCTTGGCTACGAAACTGTGTTAGTATATTTTATAACACTATATTTTATAACACTATGTTTTCTTCATTTATCTGGCTACAATCGGCGAAAATTTGATAGAAACTGGATATAACAATTCGCCGAGTAATGGCAAATCTCCTGAAACGCGTGTGCCTATAAGCTATCCTATCAATCTAATGAAAATCTCACTAGAATGAAAAAGCAAATTATGAGTATTGTAGATGGAAATTATCGAGTGGAAATTTATATACATTTATTAGACTACTATGGCAGTACCCTAGTACGTGTATATACATGAACTTGTGGATAGAGCTCGACAACTGACCTCTGTAGCCCAGTTGGTTAGAGCGCTGCACCGGAATCGCAGGGCCACAGGTTCAATTCCTGCCAGGGACCTAAAGTTTAATTTTTCGCATCTGTTCCTAGTTAGGTCTAATGAATGTATATAAATTTCCACTCGACAATTTCCATCCACAATACCCATCAAATATTCAGTAACCTTAATATCGTGAACTGTTCTCCCACTCATATGACTTCAGTTGAACCACATGATTAACTGGAAATTTTCTGTTTTCGTAGAATTTCGACGACAAATGTTCAAGCATGAGTTGTTCAATAAAATACAACTGCTGTCAACAATCCGGTCACTGTCCCGAAAACAAAATATGTAAACCAATCAACTCACTCGCAAAGCCCTGGAAACGTTTTACCTGCAACTGCCCAGATGGTTACCATGGAGAAGACTGTAAACAGCCAATCACGTCATGCCAAGGTTATGCCAGTGGTTCTCGGAAATCGGGTATGTATAAAGTTGTGGGTTCTGATAAGTCAATGTATGAAGTATACTGTCATTTTGACTCTGATGGTGCTTGGACTCTGGTGCAGTCTTACAGTTTTGCAAACGGATCCAAATTTGAAGGATTCCAAAACCCAATATCTGGAAACCATCCTGTAAGCGAAAATGCGCTAACATGGAACGGTTATCGACTTAGCAAAGACAGAATGAAATCTATCCAAAGCAATTCAGTTTTCCTACGGTTCATGTGCGACTACGAGAAGCAACATGATGTGAATAAATCGGACTATCTTCAAATACCGCTCGAGGTCTATATCCAGGGTTATAAGAAAATCATCAATGTTCTCGCGCTAACAAACGGATACACAAATATTTTTACTCATCATGGCGATGTTGGAGGAATACGGTCAAAACATTGTAAGATTCGGCTAAATCATTTTGATCACTGGCCTTTACATATCCATATAGACAATGCTAATATTGGATGCAAGCTAACCCAATTGCCAATGCCCAGTAACAGCCAAGGTTGTTTATCGCATCATCATTTCCATTATTTTGGCGGATATGGTACACACTGTTTTGATAAAGCACATCTTTGTGTACAAGCAAAGGACTCTACGTCGCAGCTTTGGTTTGGTCATGCGTAGCCGAAAAATATCGAAACTCTTCCTCAAAATATCTGTTCCGATCTAGAAATAAATGGATTGAGGTACTGGGTTGAAGCACAGTAAAAAATGCGCATTAAAGAACGACTGGGTTAAGAACCACAAGCCTGAAATTTAGACAACTAAGCACCTAAAATACAAGAACCACTTCAGTCTGACAAACGAGACTGGTTCTTAAAAAAACCATTAAAATGCATGTTCTAAGCATAGGGCAGGTATAAGAAGGCGTATACTTAATTTAATACCTTTGCAAATGCAAAAACCTAATCAGTTGCTTGGTACTCAACGAGTACATATTTTATTATATTCGGAGGCTTTTAAACAGCAATGCGACACCTCTGATATTAATGCTGACTGGATAAAATGGAAAGATTTGTTTCTTGGTGCAGCTGTTAAAGTGCATATGACATGAAATTTCTTATTTTCTTAAACGAAAGAACTCTTTAAGCTGTAGTGTAACTTACTTTTCAGTTTCTTGTTTTTATGGTTTGTTCCCGAGATATTTCAATTTGTTTGATATGTAAATGAGTGTGAATATGTCCGCCAATTTATGACATCACGTTGGTTGCAAGCACAACTTACATTGGTTATAAATCTATTAACTCTAAAAACTGTAGATGTCTGTTCACGTTTTTCTACAGTGTTTCATCACATTTACCAGTGAGTGAAGTTTGAAATTATCATCTTGGATGATAGCAGTGATATTCAACTATTTTGAAGAGCTTGCAACCAACATGACGTCATAAATTAGCGGACATATTCACACTCATTTACATATCAAACAGATTGAAATATCTCGGGAACAAACCATACAAACAACAAACTGAAAAATAAGTTACAATACAGCTTAAAGAGTTCTTTCATTTAGGAATATAAGAGATTTCATGTCATATGCACTTTAAACATATTCCACAGAAGTGGTTTAAAAAGCGTAGCACTCTCTATGGATCGACGGCGAAGTAAAACATCTACTGATGAAGAAAGACTCGCGTGGAAGGAAAGCCAAACGCAAATCTTGCTCCAACCTATGAGAATAGTCGACGGAATCACGACGCAAGACAAAATCCATCATCTGCGACAAACGCAAAAAATACTTCGAATCCCTCCTAGATCAAGTACAAAAAAGTTTTGGTCAGTTTTCATGTCCGTTTGCAACCACTCTAATATTCCAAACAAAATGACTTGGACCCACCAAGATGGAGTAATGACTTCAGCGAACAATCCGACCAGCATGCCAACTTACTCAACCACTACTTCTATTCTACTTTTGAATCTTCTGAGAGAAATGACGATAAAAACGTTTTTCAGACACTGCTGACTCGCATATCGAATCTTCAGAAGATATAATCTCCAGCATTACTCTAACACCTGAAGAGATTTACCATGTTCTTGCTACTCTCGTCATGAATAAAGCGACTGGGCCAGACAACATACTAGCTAAACGTCTCAAAAACTGCGCGTCAAGTATCTGTTCATCGTTACGCCGAGACGAAGTCGAGGTGAATATTCCCCGATAATCACCGAGCCTGAGGTATTCTTGCACAAGTTTTTTGTGTTTTTCTGGTCTGAATTCATTTTAATTTTGCTTATTTCTTTATCACTAACTTCGACAGAACGGCTAGCCGCCATTTTGAAAATTTCAATTTTGTTATATTCACCTGTAGGTGAATATAACAGATTAATACGTCAAATTTGACCAATCACCTTGTAGGATTTGTTATGTTTACTTGTGCAAAAATACTAATTCAATATAATCCCAATCTCAAACAAAGGCCCAGAAGTATACCGAATTACAGACCAATATCACTTCTGTCCTTGGTCTCTATCCAAATCATATCACACGTATCCAGTCAACTTCACTACTTAGAATTTGGCTTTTCCAAGTGAAAGTCTACCATGCACCTCCTAGTTTCTGCACGTTCTCCATTATATCCACAAAACGGTAGAGAACCGAAGCCATGTTGATTCTGTGTAATTGGATTTTGGGAAAGCATTCGACAAAGTTAATTACAGCCTTCTGTTGGTTAAACGTAAGAAATTTGGAGTAAGAAGTGACCTCCTATGTTGGTTTAAAGATTACCTCTCTGGCCGTTACCAAAGAGTGACTGTGCTCGGTGAGATATTGGTACACTACCCGTCTTGTCCGGAGTTCCTCAGGAATAAGTTTTGGGACCCCTTCTTTTCCTTGTATATGTGAACGATCTTCTTCATTTATTTCGCATGGATCTGCAGTGGCAATGTTTTCTGACAACACAAAGCCTTCCTGTTCAGTAGAGAAGATATCCGACTGTAAAGTTAGGTAGAATAATCTGGACAATTGTCGCAAGGTGGAGCAATGATTGGAAGATAGACCTAATCGAAACAAAATGTGGAGTTATGACAGTCACAAGAAGTTGCCAACCGATCACTGCAGAATACCAACTCCTGGACGGTCCTCTGAAGACAATTAATTGCTAAAAATATCTTGGGATCATTGTTACCAACGACCTCAAATGGAACAAGCAGGTGGAAAAATCAACATCAAAAGGGAACTCAATGCTTGATTTCATTCGACGAACAGCCTCAAACACCTCAAATACCACTTTCGTAAAATCCTGTACCTTTCCTTAGTTCGAAGCAAGTTAGGGTATTGGCGCCAGCCAAGTGTCGGCACCCCAAAGAGTAACTAACATACTAACACTCGAAGCAGTTCAACATCGCGCGACGAAATCCATCTTTCCCTTCCTTACAGAATAGATATTTCATACAAGAAGAGACTGCATGTATAGTCTCTTATATCATTCTCCCCATCTGCTACTAATAATGACTTTTAACAACAAGAACAACAATCAAAATGCAGGACTGTTAGTTACCAGAACAGTTTCTATGTGAGAGCTCTTAGCGTTTGGAACATTCTTCCTGCCCACATACGTGATACTTCTAAAACTTTAGTTTACTTTATATCCTGATTATTAACTACTGTGTCGACCTTCTAGAACATATTTACAACCCAGACAATCCAAGGATATTCAAGTCAGTGTGCGCTAAATGCCACTCCACACGTCCTTTCGATAGTTTATCAGCAAGAACATGTTGTTGACAGTTTGCCAAAGCCAATAGTTATGTAAATGTATTGTTAGTATTTGTTCGGGACCAAGCTATTGGCGATTATCTCTGTGGTCAGTCCCTGCCTGTACTGTACTGTATGTAAATTATGTAATATTGTGTAATGGTTTAGGGTATTAATCTTTGTGTGTGTGGCAGATCTTGTAAAATAAATCAATGAATAAGTGTCAGAATTTTTAGGCAGTCTATATTGACAACAAAATATTTTTGTTTCCATCAACAAGACCACACTTCACTGCAGTAATCAAACTTTTAAACTTGTGTCTAAAATTAAGAGCGCTAAGTATTTATGAATTTAGCCTCGATTTGTAAAACTCCGGATTTGCACTTCTCCTAGCGGACATGAAAATCAATGCTCGTATTGCCACTTTTCTTGCCCCGGCAACGCGGTCAAATTTGACACGTTGTGTCGCCCGCGCGAGAAAAAAATCGCACGTGTAACAGATCGGATTATAGGAAGGGACGCAAAAGGCCAATATAGTATAATTTAGTTTTTCCGTACAGCAGGAAATTTTCACTCGGTAATCAAAGAGCCTTTGACTCACTAAATAAATAACAAAAATAAAAATTTATATAGATGTTGTATTATCGCTTTCCATGCAGCTCAATGAGTAAAGGAAAACGGAAGACCACATTAAGTAATTCACTTTCAAATATTAGACAATTTTACTTGACAGTAAGATGAATATGTAGTTAGCGACAGCTGAAAACTTGAAATAAATTAAAGAATAAAGTGAAGAAACGGGGTTCGACAGGTGCATTGTGTTGAATACATATCACTTGAGTGTCATAGTAACATTTTATTCATTACGCGGATATTGTATAAGTCCTTGACTTTTATATCATCGTCTGAAAAACATTACAGCGAACAGTATACAAGATGTCATTGGACTTTAAATGGTAAGCTTTTTGTGTTAAACTTTACATGCACTCACAATTTTTTTTCCATTAAAGTAGTAATAACAGTACACGTCAAGATAGCGAGGCATTACAAGGAATATATGGCAGTTTAAAAAAGCCTCCTTTTGCATGTAAACATTTCAGTAGAGCTTTTGTCATATGACAGCTGTCAACGGATCAAATGATGATTTTGTAGTGTTTCCTTAACAACACATAAAACGGAACATTAAGAAATGATTTTTCCCTTCCAAGACTGTACACGAACAACTGCATGGTCAATGGCCTAAATTAGGTCGAAATAGTTCTCGGCCTTAAAACTTAAGGCTGCTTTAATAACTGAATAAATAAAACTAAAACATCTAGCTTTCTGTATATGATTTAATGTTCACTTGTTTAAAGGCACAGTTCGGCCAAGGTATAATTAGTATTCATATAAACTTTAGAAATATTTTAACTTTTCCGTGCATACACACGGACGTATGAACAACGCTTAACTGGAAAGCAGCTCAAAAATTCGTTTCGTCACGATGGAGTCCGGAACTAATTTTCACTGACGATAACTTTGATCCGGATCAAAGTTTATACGCTTTTCAAATATTTAGAGTTGCTATAACATTTTGAATTGGTATACATATTTTTTTTAAATTTCCTTTTTATTGACTGGTTATTGAAATAACTTAAAACTGAAAAGTCACGTCACTTTGCAGTATCGCGTCTGGTGTGTCTGTGTCTTTACTAATATTTCATATTATGTCAAATTTGAACAATTTCACAAATAAAAGACAGCCTGAAATGAAAATTTCATACACACATGCATGAAATTTATACAGATTAGAGATGAGCTAATCCTTTTATTTTTAATTTGGATTACTTATATTTATACAATTATTGAAAACCGGGCTATAACAGGTTTTGTGAAAAGTAAAATGCTACTTTTGTTCGGCGTTCGGCAGAGGGTCATCACGAAGCTGTTGGAAAAGGTTCAGTTATTAGACTTGGATTATCTGATCAAAATTTTGGGCACAAGCAGCAGTTATATTACCAATGTAAGGCCTGTTTTAAGGCGGTTTTCCACTAGGCGAAATTTTTCGATCGAACCGAAACTTCTATTGTTCAAATTCAAAAGATTTCTGATTAGTTCCATCTAAAGGCCTGATTCCACGAGGCGGAATTTTTCGACCGAAACGAAATTTCTCTTTGTCTTTTTACAATTAGTTCTGCTCGAGAGCTCATGAAACAAAGAGAAATTTCGATTCGGTCGAAAAATTTCGCCTAGTGGAAAACCGCTTTAAGGCCGGATTCCACGAGGAGGAATTTTTCGACCGAAACGAAATTTCTCTTTGTCTTTTTACAATTAGTTCTGCTCGAGAGCTCTGAAACAAAGAGAAATTTCGATTCGGTCGAAAAATTTCGCCTAGTGGAAAACCGCCTTTAAGGCCGGATTCCACGAGGCGGAATTTTTCGACCGAAACGAAATTTCTCTTTGTCTTTTTACAATTAGTTCTGCTCGAGAGCTCTGAAACAAAGAGAAATTTCGATTCGGTCGAAAAATTTCGCCTAGTGGAAAACCGCCTTTAAGTGCTTGTAAAACAAAAGAAAATTTCGATTCGGTCGAAAAATTTCGCCTAGTGAGTAGTGGAGAACCGCCTTTATACGTCGAATTTTGGTAGTATCGATGCAATTAAGACAATACATGAGATGATAAATTTCATTAAGCTTCATTATCCATTGTTTGAATTGCATTCGACGTGATCCGGCAAAATTCATTCGACGAATAAAACAGGCCTAAATTTCTCGTCGGAACATAGATTATTGTTTTGAATGTACGGCACACATCAAGCAAGCTTCTCAATATAAATATTTAATTGTAACATGTTAAGCGTTGCATGAATAATTACTTATTTAAAAATTCATTATTGAACAAAATCCCCCATATAGGCATAGGCATGCACAGTCTCGGACCTGACATTTATGATGTATA